CTAGTTAAATAGAAAAAAAAAATAACTAACCAGTTTTGTCTCCATTAGTAACTTGTAATTAATTCTCAAAATTTTTTAAATTACGTAAAATACTGTATTATTAATAATTAAACTTTAATTCTATAATAGAGAATAAGATGAGGGATTCTTACCTGAATTGGTGTCCGAAATAATGAACTTTCAGTTGCGTCTACTAGCGTTACCCTAGTTTCATGAATTTTTCTACAGAGATTAAAATACGCTTTGTGTACCTAAAAATATCCCAAAAACTCAAAATTGGTGTTAAAAATATTTTTTGACCAATTTCAGAATTTCGGCACGGCGGCACTGTCGTAGTCCAGCGATAGCATCGCCGTCTGTGGTGGCAGTTTGCCTCGGTCTGGCCGTTTTCGGCCGGTTTTATACTCATTCCTGTAAAAAAACATGATAGGGGGTCTTAGTTGGCTGAAAAAAGTAAAAAAAAAAAAACTTACCGGCAACGGGATTTTTTGGTGCGGTGGCTCCGCCGACTCACCTTCGCAACTAGGCATTTCTCTTTGGTCAACCTGTAGAAAACAGAACGGTGAACACGATGGTGGAAAAATTGCATGAAACAGAAAACAAAAAGTGGCTCATTAGAGGCAATTTTTGATTTTGCTAGCGGCGGCGCCACCGGGCTTTATCTCAGTTTTCTGCTCATCCGCCGTTTCTTTTTCTCTAATTTGATCATGGGAGTGTTTGAAATCAAATTCTGAGTGGATAGGAGAATTTTCACATTTTTCTGTCACTTAGAGGTGGGTCCGGCACGTGGCGGACGCTAGACGGGTCCCTTGTCTGATGATTGGTTCTTCTTCTCTAGCGAGGGACTGACGGTTAGGGTTTGGGTTCGATGTGATATAAGATATTTAAACTCATCTTCCTTAGATCTAGTCCATTTATCGCATTTGATCTCGATCGCATTTAAAGAAAAAATGAATCTGTACCGTTTATCACGATTTGATCTCAACCATACGATCATATTTAAAAAGGAAACGAATCAGAATCATTCATCGCGTTTAATCACGATCGTCCGATCGCGCATGAGGAGGGAATGGATACGGACCGTCCATGCACATAGAATGCATATGGGCCATCCAATCGCGGGCACGCGAATTACCAGCGTGGCCTCTCATGTGGCACCAAATCAGCATGTCTTGCCACGCGACGCACTCTGATTCATTGGGGCTACTGACTGGGCAGTCCTACGTTACGTAATTTTCTTTAATTGTATTTTGACGCCCAATTTTTGATTTTTCTTTCAAAAATATCTCCCGAACGAAACTTTTCACCTCTTTTTCTCAAAATTATTTTAAATTTCATCATCCAACTAATTTTTCCTAATTTTACATTAAATAAAAATTTATAAATTTAAAAATTATATTTTTATATATATTTTTTTAAATTTAACATTAATCTCTGACCAAATTTCAGATCCGGGTATTATAATTCTTTCTCCTCCTCCCCCATCATCCCCCCCCTGGTAAAAGAAATTTAGTCCTTCAAATTTGTCTTTTTCTCACTCAATCAAATAGTTGAGGATACTGGCTTTGAAGCCTAATTCTAGCTCTCATATGGCCTCTCTCTGTGTATGATTCTGCCATAGGACCTTAACGAAAGAAATTTTTCAGTTGCAGAGTACTTTACTTTTTCGGTCCACAATACCCACCGGTACCTCCTTGTAGGACAGATCCTCCAGGAGTGAAAGAGGTTCGTGGGCCAAGACGTGAGAGAGGTCTGAGTTGTATTTGTGTAATATGAACACATGAAACACATTATGGATCCTTGATGATTCAGAAGGTAGTGTCAGTCTATAGGTGGCGGTGCCAATTCTGTCTAAGATTTCAAATGTCCCAATAAACTGGAGATTTAGTTTTCTCCTCTTACCATACCTACTGATTCCCTTGAGAGGAGTGACCTTAAGAAACACTTGATCACCTTTATTAAATTCCAAATATCTCATCGGGGTGTCCACATAACTCTTCTGTCTAGTCTGAACCGTCTGAATGTTCTTTATGATCTTAACTATTTTGGCTGTAGTCTCCTCCATAAGACATGAGTTGAACAATTTTTTATCATCCACCTCTTCCTAACAGACCGTTGATCTACATGGGCGGCCATATAATATCTGGTATGGAGCCATGTCGATACTTGTTTAGTAGTTATTATTATACGCGAACTCTATTAAAGATAAATGATCATCCCAGTGGCCCCCAAAATCAAGAACACAAGCTCAAAGTATATCATCTAATGTGCGAATCGTCCTTTCTGATTGTCCATTGGTCTGAGAGTAGAATGTCGTACTAAGGGACAGTTTTGTTACCATGCATTTTTAAAAACTAGACCAGAATCGAAAAATGAATTTGGAGTCCCTGTCGGATACTACTATTACTAGCACTCTATGTAATTTGACTATCTTCTATATATACATTCTTACTAACTTGTCTAAAAGGTCGATCATCTTGATGGCCAATAAGTAGGAAGACTTGGTGAACCAGTCAACAATTACTCAAATGACATCATGTCTCGAGCGTGCCTTAGGCAATCTTGTTACAAAATCTATTGTGATGTGTTCCCACTTTGACTCCAGAATTGATAATGGCTGAAGTAGTCCGCCTGAGTGTTGATGCTCTATCTTGACTTACTGACACACCGGACACTTGAAAACAAAGTCAACCACCTCTATTTTCATCTAGTTTCACCAAAATCGGGGTCGTATATTTTGATAAATCTTAGTGCTTCTGGGATGTATGACAAACTTTGAGCTATGAGTCTCTGTCGTGATGTCTATTTTTAACTCACTGTCACATAAAACACATACCCTATCTTGAAATCTGATCAACCTATCGGTAAAGACTCGAAATTTTGAATTTACTCCATGTTTTACATCTTTCCTGATGGCTACTAGGGTGGAATCGATGGATTAAGCTTCCTTTATTCTCTATATCAACTCAGGTTGAACAGTCAAGTAGGCCAAACATGTAATTCTTTTCAGGTCCTGAAGTCATACCTGTTGTGCAGCCCCTATTACCCTGCATTCTGAAACCATTAGGTGAGCTAATATACTTGCATTTTGTCTGCTGAGTGCGTTGGCTACCACGTTACCTTTGCCCGGGTGATACAAGATTTTGCAATCGTAGTAATTGAGGAGTTTTATCTATCGTCTCTAATCCATGTTGAGATCTTTTTGAGTGAATATATATTTCAAGCTCTTATGGTCAGTATATATATGAAAAATCTCTCCATACAAGTAATGACGCCAAGTCTTCAAGGCGTGGATAATCGCGATAAGTTTTAAGTCATGGGTGGGGCAGTTTTTCTCATGACTCTTCAACTGCCTGAACCGATAGGATATAACATTCTCATGCTGTATCATAACACAACTCAACCTCAAGTAGGAGACATCATTATAAACTGTATATCCACTTGTCCCACTCGGTAAGGCAAACACAGGTGTAGTAGTCAACTACTTCTTTAGTTCTAAAAAGCTCATTTCACAGTTCTCGTTTCATTCAAACTTAACGTTCTTCTTTGTGAGCCAGGTCAAAAGAGAAGGTAGGCTAGAAAATCCTTCCACAAACCTGCGATAATAACCCGCCATCCCTAAAAAGTTATGAATCTTCTTGACCGAGGCCAATTTCTCTTAACCAAACATTGTCTCAACTTTTTCAGGGTTCACTGACACTTCATCTCTTAATATGATGTGTTCTAGAAAAGTAGTATGCTCGAGCCAGAAGTCAAACTTACTCATTTTTGCATACAACTTCTTTTCTATAAGAATTTGCAAAATCTGAGTTAGATGGTGAGTGTGTTCATCTCTATTTTTTAAATAGACCAGGATATTATAAATAAATAAGATGACAAACTGATCTATAAATTTTTTGAAAATCCTATTCATCAAATCCATGAAGATGTCTGGTGCTTTAATTAGTCCAAATGACATGAGCAGGAACTTATAGTGTTCATACTTAGTTCGAAAAGTTATTTTGGGAATGTCTTCTGCCTTGATTTTTACCTGATAATAACCTGAATGTAAGAATATTTTAGAGAAGATCTGAGCACCCTACAACTGATCAAAAAGGTCATCGATCCTAGGGATGAGATATTTGTTATTGATCATGACTATGTTCAGTCCTTTGTAGTTAATATATAACTTTAACGTCTCATCCCCCTTCCTTACAAATGTGACTCCAGTACCTCAATGAGACACAATATGTTATGTGAATCCACTATCCTGCAATTCATTGATATGTTTTCTCAGCTCCTCCATTTCAACACGATTCATGCAGTAACGAGTCACCGAAATAGACTGGGTCCATGGCTGAAGATTTATGGTGAATTCAACTTCTCTGTTCATTGGCAGTCGAGATAGTTCATTCAAGAACACATCCAAAAAGTCTCAGACTATCAGAATCTCTCGAATATAACTTTTTTTCTTAGGTTTGCCTAGTTAGAAAAAACAACCCAATTAAAGTACTCAGTAATAGAAAAATTGCCATGAGAGAATAATGTTTAAAGAATTTTATTAATTTATAAATTACTCTTTATTAGAAAGGTTGAATATAACTTTTTTGTGAAAACAATCTACGGTGGCGTGATACGCCGCTAACCTGTTCATTTAAAGGATTACATCAAATTCGCCCGTGTCAATCTCTATAGGGTCCACACTCAATTTTCTATCTGTTATATCTAGATACATGCTCTATATATAACCTCCCCAGTAGTGTTCTACTCCCAGGAGTAAACACGAACAATACATAATCAAGTCTTTCAGGTAATACAATCAAGTTTGGTGTAAAAGTATGTGAAACAAATAAATGTGAGGTACTAGTATCAATCAAAATATGTGTAAAATGATTACAGATAATGTACGTACCATGTATTACGTATAGGTTGACTTATGCATCTTACTGAATGAGGTTGTAAGCTCTGCCTTAGATAGGAGATATGGCCTAGTTCTGATTCCTTGGGCACTCTCTTGCGTAATGTTGGACACTTCCACATATACGACAAGTATTGTTGAGGCGATAGCAGGGTTGGTCTCCATAATCCTTACCACAGTGCTAGCAAATCCTACTACGTTCTGGCCTATACCTCTTGTTCTGCTTAACAGATGTAGTGGGTACTGGTCTACGGTGTTAAACCGAGGGCCTAAGATTCCCTACTACTTGAGGAAAAAGTACGAAGGTTCCTCTTCACTAGCTGTATTTTGGCTAGAACGGCCGAATAAGTAATGTGCTCGAATATATACAGCTGTTGTCTAATCTCATGACGGAGGCTCCACTCGAATTTTTTTGCCTTTCTACCTTCATCCATCATGCTCTTAGGGGAATACCGGCCAAACTCTATGAACTTTCGGGCATATTCTGATACAGTCATATCATATTAGAATAGGTGTGCAAATTCTATTTCTTTCAGATATCGGAGATGCTCTGAGAGGTACTTTACATTGAAGGTCATTAAGAACTATTCCCAAGTGACTGGAATGGGCAAGATGGCCTGTTTGAGTTGCCACCAGTGGCCTGCCTCTCCCACTAGCATGTAGGCGACAAGTATGACTCTCTATTCGGGAATCACTCAAAGAGTCGTGAAGACCTTATCTATCTCAACCAACCAATACTCGACTTCTTCAAAGAAGGATGCCCCTATAAAAGTATATAGATTTAGTCTTTTATACATCTCAATGTAGTCTGGGTTCATCATGGGAGGAACTAGGTCCCATGGAAGAGGGACTAAATTGTGTTGGGGATGGACCGGATGGCCCTGTGGTGGTACTAAATGATATGGTGGAGGCATCAGATTGCACTGTGGTGGTGCCAAGTGATGCGGTTTGGCATCGAGGCATATTGTGGTGGTGTTGGATGGTACTATGGAGGAGCAAGATCATATTGGGGTGGCTCAAACTGTGGCAACGGGGGAGGGTCAAGTAGCTCCCTCCTTTCCTCCCGGGTCTGCTGGGTAGCGATGAGTCTCTCCAACATTTTAAATAGTCAGTCAACATCTTTTCGAAGTGAACCCTCCTAGGTTGCTCAATTTAGTGAAAGTCTTCATTTCCTTATATATTTGTACATGCATTTCATAAGGAATGGTTGAGTGATAATTCATTATTTTTGGTGTTTCTTAAGGTTTTTGTGCAATAAATAGTTCTAAGGAATGCGACTCTGATACTAACTGTAAAGGTTCAGAACTTAAAAAGAAATAAAATCATAAATTAAATGCGAAAGTGGAATAATAGAGTTAGGGTTTTACATTCCTTTCACAATAGTTTAAAATATCCAATAGGGATTACATGAATGTCCATTCTAAAAGAACTGACGAAAATCAAAAAAATAAACGAAAAGTAAACAATTGAGCATCATAGGACGACATTCACTAGCTTTTGAATGAGTACATGTGATGAACTATTCCCAACTCCCTTTTTGATCGGGATCAAGATCTTGGTTCTCTTGATCTGAAATAATTAATGAAAGGGTGAGCTATACTAGCTTAGTAAGAATATCACACTCTCACCGATACAGAAATTAAATGTTGGTAAAAATCATCAAAATAACAAATAGAACTATTAATTTAAGTAAATTTATTTATCATAAGTAAAACCATTTATTGCATACTTACCGTTGCAAGATTTTTCAAAACTAACCTATAGAGACAATAGCTCAACAACATCATAATCTCATATTCAAGTAAGCAAGAATAACAATTTTTTTTTTCTTATCCATGGGGGTCAATATGGATGTTCCACTATGCTGAATTATTATTCAACATTGTCAACTAACCAGCCGTCCCCAAACCCCATCTGGTATAAGTGCCAAAAATATTATCCTTAATACCCTGTCCGGTATGAGTGCCAAAAATATCAATACTCGATACTCCGTCTGGTATGAGGGTGAAACGGGGGCCATCCACATACCCCGTCCGGTATGAGTACCAAAAATTTCAATCCTCGATAATCCGTCTGGTATGAGGCAACGTTCATGGTAGAGTTCCTTATGTACCCAGTTTGTCCACTATCTTACAGGATATCCAGTAAGGCTACCATTCATTCATTCACTTAACCAATCGAATTTGTATTTATGTTTAATTACAATTTCATAATTTAACCGTAAATCAATGTAAGACAAACAATACATGCATTAAGGAAAACACAACTGAATCATTTTATTAATTCAAGTATATTATTATGCATTTAAAGCTGTAAAATTAAACAATCGATTGAACATGACAAACAATAATAAATAACCGATTTTATCTTCATTAGTAACCTGTAATTAATTTTTGAAGTTTTCTAAATTACGCAAAATACCGTACTATTGGTAATTAAATTTTAATTTCATAACAGGGATACCCGAATCGGTGTTCGAAATACTGAACTTTCAATTGCTCTTACTAGCGGTCTCTGGGTTTCCTGAATTTTTCTACGGAGATTAAAACATGTTTCGTGTACCAAAAAAAACCCAAAAAATCTAAAATTGGTGTTGAAAACCTTTTCTGGCTAATTTTAGAATTCCGGCACAGCGGCACCGCCATGCACGACGGCGGTTTATCTCGGCGTAGCCATTTTCTGCCAGTTTGGCTGGTTTCGATCGATTTTATACCCATCCTTGTGAGACAACACGTTTGAGGGTCTTGGTTGGCCGAAAAAAGTCAAAAAATAAAAACTTATTGGCGACGAAATTTTCTGGTGCGGCGGCTCTGCCGGCTCATATTTGTAGGTAGGCGTTTCTCTTCAGTCAACTTGTCAAAAATAGAACAGTGAACACAATGGTGGAAAACTCGCATGAAACGAAAAACGCGAAAGGACTCATTAGAGGCGATTTTCGATTTTTCCCGCGGCGACGCTGCCAAACTTTACCCGTAGTTTTCGGCTCATGCTCGTTCCTTTTGCTCTGATTTGGCTATGGGAGTGTTCGTAATCAAATTCCAAGAGAATATGAGAATTACCTTTTTTGGCAGTTAGAGGTGGCACTAGTGTGGCGGCAAGCGGCGATTGGCTCCCTTCTCTGGTGGGGGGCTGGCGGCTAGGGTTTGGGTTCGTTGTGATGCGAGAATTTATAATCGTCTTTCTTAAATCTGGGTTGTTCATCGCATTTGATCTCAACCGTCCGATTGCTTTAAAGAGAAAATAAATCTTGATCGTTCATCGTAATTTAATCTCGATTGTATGATTGTGTTTAAATAAAACGAATATGGACCATTCATCGCGTTTAATCACGACTGTCCGATCGCGCCTGATGAGGGAATGTGTCTGTACCGTCCGATCGCAGGTACGCGGATTGCCAACGTGGCCTCCCGCGTGGCACCGAGTCAGAGTGCCTTACCACGCGGCGTGCTTCAGTTCATCGGGACTACTGACTTGGCGGTCATACGTGGTGCAATTTTCTTTAATTGTATTTTGACTTCTTATTTCTTATTTTTCTTTCAAAAATACTCTCCGAACCCAAATTTTTATTTTTTTTTTTAAAAATAGTTTTCAATTTCATTATCCACTTATTTTTTTCTAATTTTACATTAAATAAAAATTTATAAATTTATAAATTATATTTTTATATATAATTTTTAATTTTAAAATTAATCTCTTGCCAAATTTTGGGTTCGGGTATTACAAAATAATTTCATCATCTACCTATTAGAGGGTCTCGGTTGGCTAAAAAAAGTCAAAAAATAAAAACTTATTGGCGATGAAATTTTCTGGTGCGGTGACTCTGTTGGCTCACATTTGAGGGTAAGCGTTTCTCTTCAGTCAACCTGTCAAAAATAGAACAGTAAACACAATGATGGAAAAATCGCATGAAACGGGAAAGAGCTCATCGGAGGCGATTTTTTATTTTACATGCAGCGACGCTGCCAAACTTTATCCGCAGTTTTTGGTTCATCCCCGTTCCTTTTGCTCCGATTTGGTCATGAGGGTGTTCGAAATTAAATTTCGAGAGGATAGGAGAATTACCTTTTTTAGCGATCGGAGGTGGCTCTGGCGCGGCTGCAGACGACGATTGGCTCCCTTCTCCGGCAGGGGGCTGGCGGCTAGAGTTTGGGTTCGGTGTGATGCGAGATATTTATACTTGTCTTTCTTAAATCTGGGTCGTTCATCACGTTTGATCTTAACCATTTGATCGTGTTTAAAGAAAAAAATGAATTTAGATTGTTAATCGCAATTTAATCTCGACTGTATGATCGCGTTTAAAGAGAAAACGAATATGAACCGTTCATCGTGTTTAATCACGACCGTCCAATCGCGCCTGATGTGGGAATGTGTCTGAACCGTCCGATTGTAGGTACGCAGATTGCCAGCGTGGCCTCCCGCGTGGCACCGAGTCAGGGTGCCTTGCCACACGGCGTGCTTCGGTTCGTCGGGACTACTGACTTGGCAGTCATACGTGATGCAATTTTCTTTAATTGTGTTTCGACTTCTAGTTTCTTATTTTTCTTTCAAAAATACTTTCCAAACTCAAATTTTTAATTTTTTAAAAAATAGTTTTTAATTTCATCATCTATATATTTTTTTCTAATTTTACGTTAAATAAAAATTTATAAATTCAAAATTTATATTGTTATATATAATTTTTAATTTTAAAATTAATTTCGGACCAAATTTCGGATTCGGATATTACAAAACAAGTGAAGTATACGAGATTCTAATTTTATGAGTATCTGAAGAAAAAATTTAATCTCAAATAAAATGTAATATTACTTAAAATATGAAGCTCTCAATATGATAAATAAAAAAAATCATTTATTTTTTAAGAAATGGGAAAAATACATACACAATAAGAAATAAATTTCTCGTTGTTATTATTTTAGCTAAAGAAAGTTACGATTTTATAATATTAAAAAGTTTCCATTAATCAAATTATAATAATACATCATACAACATACTACTTAAAAAAATATTACGTACTTATGTGTTAATTGATATGTTTATTATCTTATTTCTCATTACTATAGAAAAAAATTTGGCACATTATATTTCAATATCTCATAGTTAATTATGTTTTTAAAATTTTCATGTTGCAATTACTTGTTTATACAATGCTATTAATTTTTATAGTATATTTGTACGTATTTAGACTTATTTAAATGTGTATGTAAAAAAGTTAAATGTCTAATACATCAAAATTAATATATATATATATATGAAATATAAAAGAAAATAATATCAAAGTTTATAGTTTTATTCAAAGGAAGAAAAAGAAAACAATAGGAAACTATATATTGAATATTTATTTAGTGTACAAAAAGCAACGAGGATGATCATGGTTTTATTCTTGTTTTTTTTAGATTATAAAACCCTTTGCCACATGCACTTAAGTTAAAATTAACATAAATTTTAAATTAAATGATTAATACAATATTATATGATATTACGTATATTGTTATAATTAAAAATGCAAGCTATACATCA